AGGGTCTGAGCTTCCGTCCGTGTCCGATGTGTCCGAGCAGTCGTCCATGTAACCAGGCCACAGGCTTTCTGCCACATGCAGCGCCTCCTCCAAACACCTCTGGGCTTGCTGGAACTCCTCGCACAGAAAATGCTCATTGCTGAGAGAGTAGAGCGTCGTAATAATCTCTCCATGACCACTACTACCATGCAGGCGCCGGCTCATGTGCAAAGACTCGAGAAAGTACCGTTGGGCTTCTTCTCGATTTTCAAGAATACTGCTCGCGCGGCCAAGCTCATGCAACGTTCTAGCAATGCTCAGATGGTCCGCACCTTGATGCAGGCAGCGCTTCATCTGCAAGCTCTGATGCAAGTAGTCCAAGGCCTGCCTGGCGCCTTCAGCTTCTCCCTCCTGTATCTTTGCATAGCCCAGGTTATGTAGCGTCGCTGCGAGGTTGGCAAGTTCGCCCCCGTGCTCCACAGTCTGATCTTGCAGCTGATTCTCCAGGCGTTGCACTTGTGCAAGGATTTGTCCTGGACCGCTGGAAGCTGTAAGGAACCGACATGTGAACAACGAGGGCTCTGGGAATGTGGGTCGTACTCCCTTGTAAGCGGAAACCTCGGGAGCTACGTACATGTGTGTTATGTGACATATACATACTTTCATGCGTGTAGACGTTGTGTGATCACATGCCCGGTTCGTATCAGGATACGAACCAAACTCCAAAATGCAATGGAGGAGCCTGTCAACAACATGCCAATCATGCCAACACGCCCATGCACAATCGGAAAACGTGCAGCAGCCGAACCCGAAGAGACCCACTTGACCCGGAGAAACATGTCCACGAGCCACAGACATATTTATGGAGGTTGGCATCTCGGAGAGGATACAAGAAAGTAAAGGACCCTACGTATGGAGGCAGTGATTAGATCTGCGAATCTACAGTAGCCCGGCACCTTCTCGTGGCTCTTGCGCAAGCATTGGGTGACCTTCCAAAATTTGTTCCAGCCCTTCTCCATCAGTGGCGCTGCCGATGAAGGCGTCCCCTGGGCCTGCAGTTCGTGTCGGAGCTGTGATGGCACCGGACTCTGCTTCAGTCCCTGACTCAGGGATGTAGAAGTCTGCCCCGGGCTCCTCGGAAACGATTGCGGTAGGAACGCCACTCGCTACCAAAATATCTTCAATTTGCCTCGTGGCCTGCAAGACGAATGTTGCCAGGGTTATGCATTGCAAGCGGAAGCCCTCGTCGGCTGCCATGCTCTGCATCGCCTCGGCGGCCTTGCAGATTCGGTCGAAGCACGAGGCAGCCGTTGCCTCCAAGGTCAAAGAGCCATCAGCCTCTGGCATTTCTCGCCAATGGAAGCTCAAGATGTGGAGCACGTCCCAAGTCAGGGCGCGCACAGTTCTCGCATCGCGCGACGTCTGCTCTGGATCAGGCTCCTCATCGGCT